TTTTGCTTGAATAGAGCAACATTTGCCTAATATTATGGCATAGGTTCAATTTACATTAAAATGTCAGAAATTTTTAAATTGTGAAATTTCAACTTTACTAAAGTACCCTTAAAATATTTAACCAGAACTGATGGTGTAATGGGTAAGACGATCATGAAACCTATGTGCTAGTGTTCAAACTCAAGCCCAGGCAAAAATTTTGTGGGTTGGAAGCAAATTTGTGAGATCAACTAGTTTTATAATAATGTTGTTTTTAACCATTATAAATTGTACAATAAAATATGTGATGTAGTTGCACAATTAGTTTTGGTTGCCCTGGCTAAATAAACTCATAACATTTTCGATCAAAGTGTATTCCAAAATATTAAATCACTGTGTTTCTCCTCTGAGATTGCCAAGTGATGGCAAACCTCCTTTTCTGACTGCCATTGCAAAAAAATCACTTTTCATATTGTCTCCATGAGAGAAATATTTAGAAAAAATCATTCAAAACTAGCCTTTGTCCTGTTTAAAGTCATTATTGCTACTAGTATTGCCCCTTTGACCTCTGATAGCAGATCAGTGCCAGGTTGCAGTTTGTTTTTTGAAATAACATAATTATTTTTTATCAGTAGCAGTCGGTTTTGCAAATATGTAAAATGCATTATTTCGTCATTTGTCTCAGATTCCCAGGTATGTGTAAACATCTCAGAATATTGTCACCAAGGTCAAAATCTTACACATGTGTAATATTTGTGATCATTTAAAATTCAGCTTTAACTTTTATTTTCAATAAAATGTTATAGTCGTTTATTTTTACTTATATAATACTTTTGGTGCTATCTGTTAAACTTAAAATTATATATGTACATTTTAAAAATACTTGGTGTTTTAAAAAAATATTTTCAAAAAAATTTACTGACATCTTAAAAATTCATAGAAAGGATCATTCCAGAATCATTGTCAATAAGATTGATACAGTTATCAAATCTCTTCCATCAAAGCACATGAATATATCCCTTACAGAGATATAAATTTGGTCATATTTCCAGAACATTAATAAGTTTAATAATTTATGTTTCTTCTTACAGTCAGTGTGGTTGTATGGGCGTCTTAATTTTAAGAAGTCTTCTATATTCTCATTACTGTTCATTCTTTTAATAATATTTCACATCTTTGTACCCGACTATTGCTAACTTCTCATTGTGGTCTTGCATCAATTAAATTTTATCTATCTTTCTTTCATTCTTTCTTTCTTGTAGCCATTTGAATAGTAATTTTGTGGAAAGTTTTAAATTTCTTGTAATATTCTGTTCATGACCTGATGTGAAGTATATTTATATCAAGTAAAAATTAGGCAAGCACGGACTTTGTTGTAATTTTGAAGGAAAATCAAGAAACATCTTTATTATTAAGGCAGTAATATTCATTTAAAATTTCATCAAGAAAAAGAAAGTTAAAATTTCAATTCGCCATGTTTATTAGTAATGTCATTTTCTAGAATCAAGTAACAATAATTTGTTTCCAATGCTCTCTGTTTTGCCTTATCTTTCATGTCTATCAAAGGAGTAGCTTACATGGGAATAGTTACAAGCTTTACAATGTAAAGTAACATATGCTGTTCAGTTAAAAGGTTTACCATTGGGTTTTTTTTTTATGCTAAAGTGACACTGATGCCACAGAACACTTCAAAGCAATTTTAACTGCCAAAGGAGTAACTACATGAAAATCTGTATTTTTATCATGCATCTCTAATTTTAATTTTAGAATTATAGTGTTGGAAGTTCTGTTCTGTTCTGTTCCCAGTTGAATCTCAAAGTTATGATTCATTACTATCTACCAGGAAGCCATTGCCAACTATTTACGACAAGTGTCAGTCTTCATTCTTATCCAATAGTGAAACAAAAGAAAAAAAGAAGGGAAAAAAAAGAAGATTGCATACAAAGAATCAAGCAGAATTTTATCATGAGATTGTCTCCCTTGCATTCTTTCTTGTAGATAAAGTTATTTTAATCGCTTATTAGTGCATAAATAACCATTATTTTAAATGTGATTAGGGAAAGTTGTAGTTTAGAGCTCATGCTCAAAACTATTCTTTGGTTTTGAAGAATCAACTTGTGTGTCAACTTTCTAGAATTTTACTAGGTAGAATTGTGTTAAAGAGGCCTCACACTGTAAGAGAAAGACTTGTTTTGGAGGAACTGCTGTGCTTGGTCTTAGGTCATCGCCATTGCTGGTCATGGACAGAGCAGGCAAAGGCCTGGGGCCCAGAAAGCTGAGAACCCCGAAAATTTAATAAATGGCAATAAGCTTAGTAAACAAAATAGACAAAAATTACAATTTCAAGTTAAAAAAAGGAAATAAGATTTTAAAAAATAGTCAAAAATTAAGAGGTACTTGTTAAAGTAGTTGTTGCATTTAATTTGTAATGGCAATTAATTTGAGAACTGAAAGGGATTCATTAACAATTTTTTTAAAGTAAAAATTTAAAATGTTGTTTTTTGTTTTTATTATTTTTATCATAATTATATTGAACGTAACCTCTGGGTGACACTCAAGATATCTGGGAGATTTGTATTCTTTCTCTTTCTAGACAATGATCTGAAATTCAAATAATGGCTATGAGAAAGCGTGTATAACGTAAATTGATCAGTTTCTTGTTACAGTCAAAATATGAGAGTAAGTTGGTAAGTACCTGCACGTTTATTCCAATTGTCAGTAAGTTGACTGTACAGCTTTGTATACATCCTTTTAGTGTCTTTGTGATATGAACATGTAACAGAATCTGAAGTTCAGCAGATTTAGGTTGTAAAATTGAGTGCAGGTGCTTATTGACATTCCCTTGTATTTTGTAAGAAACTTCTATTGGACTTTTTTTACTCATGCTTTGCCAATTAACCAAGGAACGCATACAAGCAACCTTTTGTCTCTTTCACTTTTCACCTTTAACACTTTCATGAGAAATAATATATAAATGTGGTTACCAGTTGTACCACACACTTAAGAGAGGGGCTGTGGTGGTCTACAACATGTACAGAATGAGTGATTTCATGTTTGAAAAAATGCAACAAGTTCCTCATAACCTTACGTACTGCTAAGTTATTAGTTACTTCTGTCACTATTTTGTCCGTAGAAACATAAGCAGTTCCTGTTGAAAGTATTTTTTGTGATTTTTCATTTTTATTTTCTTTTAATTCTTTTTAACCACGTGTATATCATCACAATTATATGCACATTTACATGATTCAAAACACTGTTGTAGGCTCGAAATATTATTATCTTTTGTGAACAAGTATATTGCAATTCTCAGAGCCACTCAGTTGATAGGCTAAGATTTTTGATGGCCTAAACTGTCATGATAGCAGAGTCACATTCAATACTGGACTGTTGTAATTTGCACTCCCATTACTCAATTCCAAATTTTTATTTTTTGTCATTTCTACAAAAAAAGTAGATGTTTTCTTGAGTTTGCTTGAGAACTGTCATCAGAGCTTCCATTTCCTGGAAGCACAATGTTCTGGACATTGTGGAAGAGAAAAAATCTTCAAAAAACTGCTGAGCAAAAACAAGTGTTCATGTGCCAAATGACATTAAATTAATTTGCTTTTTCCACCTGAAGTGACTCATCCTGTATATAAATTTTGAATTTTATTACCTTTTCTGTTGTGCCCTCCATTACCCCGCCTTTCCCCTTCAACTCGCTGCGCCGTACCCGTCTCACCCTATCTTTCCTCGCTCCACACTGTACTCTATCCTGTTTTGCTGCATATCATTTTCCAATATCAAAACTTTGTAATGTAACCACAAAGAGATACATAATCTTTGGGGTTACGAACGTCTTAATATTTTTCTCAGCTGCTCAAAAGTATTCGTGCAAAATTTAGGAACAATTACTCGAGTAGCTCAAATGTTTTTGTGAAATGTATGTAAATACTTTCCCTTTATGTAATTATATTTATACTGGACATTGTTCTCGATAATGACAATAAATGGATTTCTTTTAAATGATGGCTAATAATCATCAACAATTACTTCAGTAAATTCCTAAAAAAAAAATACAATTATTTAAATCTAAGAAAAAAAAAACTACTCTGCTTACACAGACTACCAATTTTTACTTGTGTCAAAGGGGTTAAATCTTTTATTCTGCTTTTTTATTATAATTGTTTGGAAATTTTTATAGATGAATTTGTATAGTTTATGATGAAATTTGGGATATTACATACTTAGGCACAGAATCTTTCAGCTACAAATTATTTATAAATACCTTGTTTCTTCACCTAGATCACCTGACAAAAGATGGCTTTTGCAATGAAGAACAGATAGCTGATTGCCCCACCCACCCCCCCTCCCCCCCACTCCTCCACTTTAAAAACAGAAATCGGCACATATAAACAATTTTTTTGTTGCATCTTATAGATATTGAGCTGAAAAGTAAATAAATCAAACAAGTATATACTTAGTATAGTCACTTTGTTATGCAGTGTAATCTGGTTTTTGCCTAGCGAAAGAAGGTTAAAATGTTCTTTTGACCCCTAATTGATTATTTAGTACTGTTTTGAGAGTGTTGATTCACCAATAGCCATACCTAGTCTATAGTCATGGGTTAGATTTTCTATATTAGAACACAAAGAATAAGAATCATTGGGGTATAATATATTCCATGATTTCAGTGTTTAGACTAGAACTTGTTGTGTTAATTATGGAATGAAATTTGTGAAATTTTGCTATTGCAAACGCAAAGGGTACTGTTAAAACTTGGAGCATAACTCCAGATATTGCTGACAAATCATCTTTGGTAAATTCCAAAAAATTTTAGAGTTTAATCAAATGCAACCTGTCTTAAATAATTGAAAAGTAATTGTTAATGTATAAATATAATATTGCAATAGGGAAATGATTTGCTGTATCATTAGAGGGTAAAAAATATGCTTGTTTTAATGTAAGTAGGCCATTTTGTCATTCCAGAAATATTAAGTATATATTTTATATTTTGATAACTTTCTCTTTTGCTTTTGCAGGTAAAGAAGAGGACAGCCATACGGAGCTTTAACCCATGTTGAAGTAGGCCTAGATTTTGTATTGAAACAAAAAGTGGGATTGTCACTGTTATGTGTCTTTGCAAGCAGTGTATGCGTGCACATGCATCCATCATTGGAACTCAAGGGGGGGCCAATAGCGACTCAACACAATTAAAGGGAGCTCTCGATTTCTCTTGTTACAAGAGGGTTTTGGATTCCTAGCCAAAGGTCAGCGAACAACTGCACAAACAGTCGCTTTGTAGACATACCTCAACCGCAAAGGAAATCTTGAGTTTGTTTGTTTGATTATTTACTGTTTCTGAGTCTTACCCCTCCTTTGTTTGCTCACATCTCCCAATCATTTCTGTTTGTTTGTCTTTCTGTCATTCACCAACTTGGGGATTTTGTGTCTTTAGGTCTTTGAGCAGTGTCTTGAAAATTGGAGAAGATATAATGATAGAATCATTGGGTAATTGTAGAGATTAATAGATCATTAGAAAGGGCACATGCTATGGGATTTGTTTTGTATAATTAGACAAAATTTTGATTGCATGACTAGATGATTTGGGAGAATGTATCATTCACATATGTACCATTCCAGTTTACACTAGTCTTTAAAATAGAATTTTTTAATTGTTGTACCATTTCTTTTTCTAAGTTTTGGTTTCCTTGCTTGGAATAAAAATACCTCTTATTAACCCATGCATTTGTTAGCATCTAGAATCTTTCATGAATTGAAGGAAGATGCATGTAAAAATTAGTCACAAATGAACTGTCATTTCAATATGCTTATTTTCATGAAATATGCTGTGATATTGTGATGGTTTTCTGACAGACTTTGAGGCTGTTTCCCTTCTCTGTGAAAGTAAGTTATTAAATACCTAAATCATAACTACCTAGTATTTTCTTAACAAGTTGTCTATGTTTGTGGGACAGAAACGGGCCTTGCCACTTACAACAGCTACAAATGTATGTATATTTAGTTTCCATCCCCAAATCTGGAGACAAAATTTTACTCCTTGGAAATGTGTTATTCTGTTCGCTCACCTATGAAATCTTTCAAAAGATTTGTAACTTTTTTCCCAGTCTTTGCAATTTTTTTTATTGAAATAAAAATTGTTCCAAAAAGTTCATCCTATTATATACTATTTTTTTAATTTAATGTGTGGTAACGGTTTTCAAGTTAGAACTTTTCAATAATTTGAGACTACACATTGGATCTTTTTTCCACCTTGTTATTAATGGAAAACTATTTCTTCCAAGATTATTGTTCCAGTAATTAAGAAATGTTTATTCAAGAGTTCTTAATCACTCATTTTCCAAACGCATCTCTCCCTGGTGGCAATAATATATTACAGTAACTTTGTTCAAATTGTTTATTTATATTATATTGAACATCACAATGCCCAGCTAATGTTCAGGAAATGCAGTGTCTTGTAATTGTTTTGTTATTGGCTCTGTTTACTCAGTGTTTATAATCCCAAATGTATAATGGTGTTTGAAATGATTTGTGTAATGTATTTAAGAATGATGTATGTATTTACAATCAGAATTTTCTTTTGAAAGATCACTGGGAGTGGTGCATGCTTCTTTGTAAGGAAAAAAATTGTTTTGTAAAAGCACTCGTGGTATATAAAGTAAGGTTGTTTTAACATTTATTCTCGAGTGTGGTAGTTATGACGGAGGAAATTTCCAGTCGTTCATGGAAAGAGTTACTGCAAGTGCTCTTTTTTAAGGTTATTACCTAAAACTATCTTTCACAATACATGGTAAATTTTCTTAATCGTTAGGAGTTGAATCAATTGAGAGAGATAAAATGAATAACAATTCGAAATCCTTCCTGTGTATTCAAACATGGCTGGATCATGTTTCATAGAAATGAAAGCAAAAGGTGTTTGACTATAGAAAAAAGGATAGATTTAATGTAGATACTTGCATCAAGATCTTCAAAGAATTATATGCTTTCATATAGAGTTCAAAAATTTGTGAAATGTGTAAATGTGTAAAAATTGGATTCAAGATCAATAATTGTGCATACGCAGTAATCAGCTATTGGTTGTTTGTAAAATGTTTTCTCAATTACCATTCATTTACAATTAACGTATTTTTTATCATTACAAGAAGCGGCTCAATATGAACTTGATTAAAAAGTATATATCTGCTGCACATGTATATTCTGAAAGCTGAAACAAAAAGTGCAAGAGAAATTTTGATTTACAGATGTGTGTTTGTGTGTCTTATAAATATATAAAATTTTTGAATATGTGCATTGATATGGAAATGTGTGTGTGTGACAGTAGATTATATAATACCTGTTACAATTGTAAAATATGTTAATGTATTTGTGTCCTAATTTATCTTGTATATCTAAGAAAATCTGAAAAATCACTTTATTGTGTATTATCCTTTTGAGACTTGCACAACACTGAAACAAAGAAACATCTCTAGAAGTAGTTTGGAAAGGACAATTTCTAAGGAGAAAAATGAGTCATAAAAATAAAATGTCTAGATTTCATAAGAGGATTATAATTGTTGAAAGATTATCATAGTTTGATATAAGTATATATTTAGCACTATTACAATGATGTCATTATGTTTCGACATAACGTGATATAATTTACATACTCTCTTTCTCCTAACTCCATTTTTTAGAAGAGTCAGCACTTATTTCAGTGAAAGATTGAGTTTTTCTTTCTTCAAATGTTTGGCAAGAACTTAAGGACTGAAGAGTAGTATTCTGCTCTAGTTTGATGTAAATAAAAATGTCTCATCGTGTGGTATGGCATAGCCTGTAAATAAACTTTCTCAAATTTATTTTCTAATTTATCAGGCAGAACACAATTCAAATGTTTTCAATTATATTTAAATCAAACATATTAAATGAAAACTTACTTTATCAAATTATAGTGAAACCTGCCTTACATGATCGCCAATGATTGTGAATAGAGGTGTGGCTGCTTAATCAAGGTTATGAGATTATTAGAAGTGTAAATCAAATCTAATTGCTTTCAAATGATGAATGTTTTCTTTAACATTTTTAATTGCCATAAGTGACAAAATAAAATTTCAATGAAGATCATTTGTCTCTCTCCACTAAAATCAAAACTTGACTCGCCACTCCTCTTGGTCAAGAAACTCGCATTCCATCCTCATGGAATTGAACAAGCAAACTGTTCTTGAAGATGCAATGGACATTCACATGCAAATCTTTACAGCAGGGTCGTCTGATGAACTTCAAATGGGATTAATACACATGACGTGCTCTGTAGTCATTAACAGATTCCCAAAAAAGGGAAGCGTGCAAGTATGCAAAACAGAATAGTAAAATATGTAAAGTGAACATGTTTGTTTCATTAAGAGATACTTATTAAAATCATATGTTTTGTGAAACAGAACCGAATCCCCCTGCGAGATATAGGACTTTGGATGTTTCCGTTCAAGGAAATCTGATGCATCTATTTCGGGAAAATATTAAATCATCAGTAATTTCTTTTATAATATAGCTCAAAATTACTTGAGGTGATCGCTTAAAGTGTCATATGGAAAAATCGATCAATTGCATTAAAATATGGCCGTTTCTGGAGGTGACTGTTAGACCAGGTTTCACTGTAGTTCAGTTAATCTAATTTCTTGTATGTACCACTCTTAGTGATTTAAAATTAACTCTAAAACCATGATTTAAGCATAGAGGAAGCATTCTTTCCTCCATGATATTAGGATTCCTGTTTCACGAATACGTTTGCTATCTTAATAATGTAACTTCTTGCCTTTGCCTATACCCTTAATGTGTATCCACTTTTAGTTGGAGCTAATAATCAGTGACTGGTTTGAATGAAATTGTACTCAGGCTGACAGCAAAGTAGAGATATCATGAAGAAATAAAGTAAGAATCCAATGGTAAATATGTTCACCCATTAAGTACCATTATCCTCAAATGGGGATCATAAATATTTGTTATTAGTATGTTGCTGTTAAGAATTTTCCAAGACCATAATATTCCTCTATCTCACGGGTGTCCAACTTACTAGGCCTTAACCTTAGCAACTAAAACGTTTAATATGGTTGCGGGCCATATTTTGATAACTTGGATGATCCATGCCTGACTTCCTCGTATTATTCATCTCAGCAGTTTGCCCTGCTGCTGTGAAACAGGGAAGTAATGGAACAATGCATGATTTCTGGCCGTATGATAAATTTAGTGGGAAAATATTCTTAAATCTAAACTTAAACAATTTTGACATTACAGGGGTGTTGACCCCTGGAGGACACATGTGCTAGGCGTGCAATTTTCTCACCCAATGTGGATGCAAGGGCTTTTTATTTTTGACTAACTGTTCGCGGTTCCAATAAATGTCACTGCATCCCAGGGACTACCAGTTAGACAACCCTGCTCTGTCTGAACATTTGAGAATCCAGTGTTGACATTAGGAGTTTCTTAGAACTTTAACGAGGGATGATAATTATTGCACAAGCAAATGGACAGCGTTTCTTTGCTGTGCGATTGAGAGATTCTCAATCCCATATCTTGGTTCATTTGACATTTTTAGGACAAATATCCTTTGATTTTGAATCTGCCTATTCCAATAATGTTGCTTCATCATAACTTGATCATGAATCTTTGATGCTTTAATATTTGTAGTATGTGACATTTTGTTTTCGATACCCATTTGGGGATCATGGTACTTGACAAGTTACAAGAACTTGCATTGAATGCTGCATTGTGCAAAACTTAAAAAAGGTGTCCATCATTTTTCTTCGACCTCTGCGTTAAAACTCACATATTTTACAATTTAGAATTTCCTCTGAAAATATTTGAATTATTGGGTAGATATGGGTTCTGCAGCATCATCTCAAAACAGTTTTTGACAAGACATTTCAATTTCAAGTATTAAATAATGTACTACTTCAAAATTTAATACTATTTGCACTTAGTATGTATGAAGGAAAAAAAGAAAGATTGCTGACATGTGGGTTGGGGGATAAGGTGGCTAATAGAAATCATTAAACCTCAAGAACTTATTTCTGTTTTGATACCCTATTTCCTAGGTGTGAAGTGGTAAAAAAGAAAAAAAAAACTGGAAGAAAGAGGCATTATCGTGAAGCTGGTAATTGTTTTGAATGTATTTTCAAATGTTTATACGTAATCAGTAAAAAAAGTAGGGCAAAATCTCATGGTTCATGTGATTAATGTAATGCTCCAAATATTTTAATTGTTATAATTTCAAAGAACTTCAGTTATGTAAAATTTCAAATCATGGTATTATGATGCCATTAGTGTAGATTATAAAAATAAAAAGAAGGTAAAGATTGCAAATCAACTGCTCAACATATCTTATTGTACATTACAATAGATTTATGAGTGGAGCAGTATGAATAGTATGCACAAGAAAGTATAATTGAAATTTGAGAGATTTTTTCTTTTACCAATTTGTTTGATGTAGGCATTGTTAAGGCACTTGTCTGATTCTGTTCTAAAAAGGCATACTACTCATACTCAACTATCCTCAAAACATGAACCACAAGTGGCTCAAAAAATATCAACCCTGTAAGGATGTAAAAAAATGTACTGTCAGATTACATATCTACTGTTTCATAAAGAAGTTTTGAGTAATGTCTCAATTATATTAAAAACGAAACCTTAAATATATTTTATGTTTCAGGTGATTATTTTACACACAAAGTACCATGATACTGCATTTGGAGATCAAATTTTATTTTATTCATAGAAAATATGTTGCAATTTTTTACAAATATATTGGGCCTGATGCATTTGTAGAACATTAAACAACAATGAAAGATGTTTGTTAATTTTAAATAAATTTTACTCTGTGAAGATGACCCTTGAAAAAAATATATGTACCTTACTACTTCCTCTAACAAATTGTCATCCTATCAAATACACATTTTTACCTGAATTTTGCTTAAACTGAATATCTGATATGATAATTAGTTTGATGAAAAATGATTCAGTGCATTATAGTGACTTATGAAAATAATTGTAATATTAAAGATAAACTAGGAAGATTAGAAAATGACTTGCTCTTACACAGGATGAGTTGGTATAGAAAATCTGTTAAACTTTCTGTAAGCCAACCATGAGTTCCTTGCCAACATTTGTAAATATTTGAAATATTTTATTTCATGAATGTTTATTTATTGTGAGGTGATAAACAAATCTTTTTGTGTTATTGAAAGTAACAGTAACATTGTTGCGAGATTATTAGCTCCTGTAGCAAAATGGACCATATTTTCACAGAACTCAATTTTCTTTAAATATATTGAAAACAATATTATTAACCATATGTAGTGCAAACAATGTTATTTGCAGTTGTGTTTCATTAGTCTCAAAATGCAAATCATTTTAGGAAAGATCTCAAAGAGATTTCTGACTGTTCATGACAAGAGTTCTGTGCAAAATGTTCAACTACAACCCTATGTTTTGGAAATTGTGAAACTGACTTTTCCATACCTGGTATGGTGACATTGTATTTGTGTGTGTTCTTCCAAGATCTCACTGTTTTTCATAGTTGAGTTGTTTAATTTGGACACTGTTAATGATGTCACATTAAATGCTGAAGTCTAATTTTGCAAATATTCTGTATGATAATCAGGTTATATTTTCTAATCTTAATGAATATGTTGATAATATATTTTGCCATAACACAGGATATGTTAATTTTATCAATGACATCATTCACAGACCATATCTTATTGCATAAAATCACCAAAGATTCGGTTGGTTGCTTTCTTCTGGAATATCAATATGGTTAATGCCTTTATGTCATCACATGAAAATAAAACAACAGTATTGTGTGGCTGTTTACTAGTGTTATGGAGTGATTATTGTGAACAATATCTTGACTGTGACTGAAAGTGTTATTTATTTTGAAAATAGTTATTACATGTGTTTGAGCAAATTTGAAGTGCACATATTTTTTTGATGTTTGTATGATGATGCTGGTGTTCTAAAGAAAACCAGTTATGCCACTAAGGCCACCTATCCTTACTCCAATGAATGTCTCATTCCTATTCCAAAGTAGTAATCAGTGAAATCTTATAATAATAATAGTAATAATAATAGCAATAATAATAGCCATGAACCTTGATAAAATTATTTAAGTTTTACTTCATTGGCTATAATTTCTGAGTTATGTAACAAATCTTTTCCTCGTGTTATTTTCACAATTTGTAACTACAGTTCACCACTTTCCATTCTTTCCTACACTGAAAAATTTGAAAAATGTTTTTTAAGCCATCCAAAATTTAGAACTCAAAACAGTTAATTTCATGTCTATTTAGGTAATGTGATTAGCAGTTTCCTTCTTAAGAATTTTACATATCCTTTCTGGCAAAAAATAAGCCAACTTCTAAAATAAGATATAGTGAATGGAACATTTTAAGAGGTTTTTTAATGTTTTATAGCTTTATCACAAATTCCAATGAGGCTTTACCAAACTTCAGATTTCTAAACAGTATCCCAAAAACAAAAGTTGCAAAACATCATCCACAGTTTAATTTAGAATAGCTCCTGTCAGAAATGAAGTTGCGTTTACAATTAAAAATTTGCTTCTTCAACTACTGTCTTGCTCTTTCTTATTTACATGCCTTTTTATGCTTGGTATTCGTAAAGAGTATTGCATGGTGTCAAGAAGGTTATTAAGATTGTAATATTAGTAGCTAGACAGATAGTTATATTGAACATAGACCCAAAGGTTTCTGATTAGCTGTTCCAATAAGTAACCGATGGAAAGTTGCGCACAAAAGCATCAAAATTTAATACTCAAATGACACTTAAATGATGAGCGTAACAAAAATAAATTGTAAGGTATACAATTGTAGGACATTTTTCTTAGAACATTTTGGTAAAACGTAATTTTGTTCCCAAATTCGATTTTTTTTTTTTTTTTTTTTTTTTTTTTTTTTTTTTTTTTAGATTCAGGCAAAAAACTAGAAGATATAATTTTTTCGTGTTATAATATTTTATAACTCAAATTCCAACAAATATGTTTTACCAAACTTCAGATTCATAATTTCCAAAATCTTACTTAAAACTACAAAATTAAAGTTGGAGATTGTTGCTTTTGACAAAGTCTGCTGTAAAGAATCAGGGCTTTAAAAAAGGTCAAGTGCAATTTTTGGAGGGAGGGAAGTAGTTTTCACAAAATTTGCCCTTGAAATTCTCCAAAAAATATTTTTTTCTTAAAAGCTGCTGCAAATTGTACCAGGATAGAAGTGACGCGGGTCTAATTTTCGTTATACTCTGAATTTTCAAAATGCAAATTTAGAAATGATGCGATAAAGTATGCGCTGTTGTTGCACCACTTTCATTTTGTAGTAAATTATTTCTTTGGGGGTCAAATGTCGCCCAGGTTCTTGTAAACTACTAATAAATACTACAGCAACACATACTTTCTCGCATAATTTATACATTTGTACTTTTCAAAAATTTAGAGAGTTCAACAAAAATGTGACCCACGCAATTCTTACAAGCGCCCGTCCTATACGGGACAAAAATTGAGTGGTTTTGGAGAAAATAATTATTTTAGAAATTGCATACATTTCAAGAACAAAACACGAAAAAACTACTCTTTTTTTTAAAAAAATGTGTATTATACTTTTTAAAGAGCTGATTTTTAGAATAGACTTATAAACACGAACTAGTGGTGCTAAAACAGCAAGTACTTTCTTGCCCATAGTTTAACGCAAAATTATGCGAAAAGTACTCAAATTTCAGGAAAACTATGACCTTATTTCAAAATTTAACTTTATGGAACAGATTTCTATAAACAAAAAAAATCATCACATCATCAATATTTTAGTTTTAGGAAGACTCCGAAAAAGTTTTGAACTTTTGCAATTTTCGAATAAGCAGTCTTTTCATTTTTTTAAAATTTATTATTATTATTTTTTTTTTTATTTTAAGAATGTCCGACTTCATGCGAAGTACCCCCAAAAATTAAAGTATCGGTTTCAAATGCAAGGGGCCGTGACATCAGCCAGATCTATTAGGGAATATCTTCTTCTTCTTCTTCCCCCCCCCCTTTCAGCTGAACAGTTTAATCGCTAGCGTTGTTAGCAGACGGACAGACATGTTTTTCCGCAATTGGATTTTTGTTTCAAGGACTCACAAAACAAGGATTCTGGATATACCACGCGCTAGAGGATTTTTGTTTCTTAATTTAGCAACTGGATTTATTCACTTTATCCACCAGGGTCCTGTCATATGAGTTTTTTTCTGCCGAAATTTCGCCGTTATTTCGCACAGCATTACCTAACTTTCTCTCTACTCCGCAACAAGAAAGTAAAAAAAAAGAAAAGAAAAATACAATATACAGCACGTCAACTATATCATACGTCTGTCAGAACTAAAAATCGTGTAAATTTCGCGCAAAACTGAGGATGAGACTGCCTTTCCTGCAGTCCCCCGAGCTCCAATTTTGACACAACAGCGGGACACGAAATCAGCTATGCCCAGACTTCGTTGCAAGTAGCAGGCAGGGTAGGGAAACTTGGCGGTCAAAGAGAGACCTAAAATTCACTACAATTTCCCCCCACCATCAGCCCAGCCTAACGGTGACGTCACGAAGAGATAGCTTATGTTAACGTAATTTATGAAGACGCTTCTTTATAAAAAATGTTAATATTGTTTTAAATTTAAAAAAAACTCACTTGTGATTGTATGAAGCTCATTTTGGAAATACTGAAACTCATCATATACAACCGGACACATTTCACAGTTAACCACGCATTACATCCTATTTTCTTTGTGTCTTTTAATGTGAATCTCCTCTTCTTGAACCAGGATGATCAGACTAGAAGCAATTAGAGATTACTAAAAATAACCAAACTAGTCTACACCACAAATACTCAATACACACTGAAAATTATGAAGGTTATTACCTGCTGGACAACAGTTGGACCCTAGGAATAAAAAAACACCTAAAACAAGGAATCCACACCAGAAATGTAGCTGATAACACCACAAAATGTATATAACATTAAGAATATTCTTTAAAACATATCAACTGTCTTTATTAAAATATATTTTACATATTGTGAATTGCTTATAGGTTATATTTTCAAAAAACCTTAAAGACCTCTACAATTTAAAGACAGTTATATTATTATTTTAAACACACAGAGACATTCAAAATAACATTTACTTCTCATCCTAGGCATGTACAAAGTTTATGAAATACATTTATACATCCAGACATACCTGTACATCCTTTTGGAATTACCATAATACTTATGTCCAAGAGAACACTGATAATAAGTAGTCTTTATAGCCTGGAAGGGAAGAACCCAAATATTTGATTTTCAGGGGCTTTATCTAGCTTCTACTATGAAACTTAATGCCTGCAAAATAAATACAAACTTAGAAAAGCATGTTCCAGGATAAACTTCAATTGGGGTAAATTAATATTAAAAATATTTACCCAGCACCCGGACGACTATGTCGAACAGAATAGCTATATCCACTAGCTTCCAACTCTGTAAATAGATTTTCAAAATCTTCCACGTAACCAGAAATAGTACCAGAGGATTGCAAGTAGTCCTTCAGTCTCCTCTGCATAATTTCCTCGAGAGAATTAGCCATATTTCTACAGAAGAAGGTTTGTTACCACGTGCCGAAATCATGAGGCAATTAAACTTATTCAATCGTGTCTTACCATTCAAGATTAATACAGATTGCCAAATCTTACAACACTGAAAAAAAAAACAGAAATTCGTCAAAAAAACACACAAAGCGTTCGCTACAACCGCGCTATACGGAAGTACGCGCTACAAGGAAGCAGAGAACATTGGAAAAGTCGCACGGATGAGTCGCAGGTCAAGAACAGTCAAGAATAGTGCAAATCTTGGCTGGCCAATAGCAAACACCCAGCCGTGACGTCACCGTTAGGCTAGACGATGGTGGGGGGAAACTGCAGTGAGTCTAGTGTTTCCCAAGTTAATGACCCCCAAGCTCCAGTCTATATAAGACCGTGCACCCGTCGCGGTCTTCAGTCTTGGACTCAGTCTCCACCCGAGAGGATCAGAGACATATCCTGAGGTCGTCTTCCGGAGAACAGGCAGGGCACAACTGTCAGTGTTAAACTTAAAAAAATATTTGAAAGAAAAAACAAATTATTAAAATTAAGATTGAAAATAATTTTAAAAAAATATTTAAGAGTATTTGGTTTAATAGTGTCCTGGAGTATTATTATCACATAAAGTGACTCTCGCGTGGAGATTCAAAATTAATTAATTAAATTCATTTTTATAAAAATTAAAATTATAAAATTTAATATTCAAAACGAAATGAAAACTATAATGAAAGCTTTAAAACCAGTGGCGTTCCGATAATACTGAAGATACACAGGAATTGAAATAGATTTTTTTTCTACCAGGAGATAAATTCTACGGATTGTCAAGTGCGAGAAGCAAATACATTTCTTTTGCAAAAAAGATATGTCCTGAATGTACAAATTTCACTATAGATGAACTAAACAATAGGTTTTTAGGAACAGACGTAACAAAATACGGGAATGGTTCCTTTTATGACACATCTATAGCATCGCCTCGAGACCAGGAACATACGACTTTAAACGTTTTATTGAATCCCACGGAATATAATCATCAGAATATTCCCGGGATTGGACAAACATATTTAAGAATAGGCCGAGCCTGCAAAGCAGGAATTGAATATGTGACGTCTCGGCAATTGAAAATAAATATGAGCAATAAGATACACTTTATACTTGACGACATGAATTTTGGGAGCCGTTCCTCAAAAAGTTTCGTATTATATGAACTACCGCGAAATTCACTCGATGTTACAGAAATTGAATACATACGAGAGAGACGAGGGGGACTATTGAAAGATGTGTCAGGACAGGAATTAAGGTAATTTATAGAAACAGGAATAACATAAATATTCGTAAC